CCCCAAAACCCCAAAACCCCAAAACCCCACTTTATAAATTTTCAATTAATTATGAATTAGGATAAATTTGAGATCTGAATATTATACTGTTGATATTATAATTAGATAATTCGATTTTAGTAAATTGTTAATGAAACCCTAACCAAAGAAGCCTTAACCAAAGCAGGCTGCTTAAGCACAGGCAAAACCTTAAGAAAGCATATAACCCTAGAAAAAAGAAGAGCCCCCAAAATAAGAACCTTAAAAAGTAGTGTAAATTGTTGAACCTCCAAAGCCAAAAGAAAATCTTAAATTAAATGAACTAAAGAAATAATGGTTACAATTTTAACTATACTCTGATGTTAAGGACGTAAGAATAGTAGATTTAATAATATATATTTCTAGGCTATTGAAGAGTAATTTAATGTTACTAAGATACCTTTAAAAGATTCAATCAGAGATGGCAAGATCGAGATTAAGGATTAGATAGAGGATTTCGATAAGATCATCAAAAAGTAAAAGGCTAAACTTAGAAAGCATGAATTTGAAGAAGGATTAATACACATGCGTCTCAGGCATAATTTATTATCATAGCATGAATATGAGGAAAGGAAGAAGTTTATTTCAGTAAATTTAGATCTTATACCAGAGAAAGATAAGGAATTCTAAGAAAAACTAGGCATAAGAGAGTACTTTATGAATAAGAATAGTGTCCTGCTCCATAGTACCATAGAAAAGTCTTAGCCTCTAAGTAATGCGCATAAATTATCATTGGATTTAACAAAGCCTCTCATTCCTACAACATAGCTGCTTGGAATAGGTTCTTTAACTGAAAGAGGCAAGTCTTCAAATGATAAACATAGAAACAAAGAGCCAAAGTTATTCAACTTCAAGACATTAGAAGAGAAACAAAAGCACGATGAATTTATAAATAAAATCAGAGACTAAGATAAAGAAAGAAGGAAACTCAAGAAATAATTAGAATAACTTCACTAAAAAGCTGAGAAAGAAAAGGTGGAAAAGCTGAACTTCGAAAAATAAAAAGAACACGAAAAGCAAGAATAAGATAAAAAGAAGAGATTCCTAGATATTTAGGAGGCTTTATCAAAAAAAGAAAAGGAGAGAATAGAACAGAAATAATAGTAGGATTAAGCATTGACAAAACTATTTAATCATTAGCCATTACACATAAAAATGGAATTTTAGTATAAAAATGAAGTTGAGTTACCTCTGCTAGAGCAGAAAAAGAAAAAGCTGGAGGAAATAAGGCAATTTTTCAAATAACCTTTAGATAAGAAGGATATAAGTAATCATTAGAAAAAATATGAAAGTGAAGCTGAAGCCAAGCAAAGGGAAAGAGAGAAAAAGAAGTAACAGAAACTTAGAGAGTTTTATGAGAGATAATAGGATATTTATGAAAGCAAATATGTTGAGATGGACTAGAAGTAAAAAGAAGAAGAGGAGGAAAGAATGCGGGAGAGAAAATTAGTGAAAGAAAGAATGAACGAATACTTTGAGAGTATTAAAGATACAATCAAAATTAGAGATGACAATTCTGCCAAGAAACTGAAAAAGTCCGATGAACAGTAGAGTGATTTATTCAAAATAAAAACTCTCAAGCATGGTGCATAAAGTGCAAGGGGATTACCGAATCTTAGAAGTAGCCTAGTTTCAGGTATGTCCATTGAATAGCATAAAACTGCTGAAAGTTGAAACACATCAAGAAAAAGGTAGGACATTCATTGGAAGAGTGAGCATACGTTATTACAAGAGGAGAAAGTTAAAAAGAACTAAGAAAAAGAGAAAGTCCGATAAGAAGTACTGAGCAAAGATTATCTGAAAGAAGTTCTAAGCCATTAAAAAGGCAAGTTAAGAGAGAGTGCAGCAGAATAAGACATTGGAAGGTATATGAATGATTAGAAAATGAGTGACCGAGATAGATTCGATTTAGTGCAATTAAAAGCCAAATAATACGAAGATAAAGCAAAACTGGATGAGTAGTTGCTGATGCTTGATGACAATGATCCAAAAGCAGTCTAAAAGGCTATTGAAGTTAATGATTTGTATATAAAGAGTATCCAGACTAAACTTAAAATGCTCAATGCTAATTGAGCGGATTAATCATGGTATAATCTATTAGCGTGACAAATACTTATAAGAGTTGCGATTTTTCCAGATTATAGATTGATTGACACTGAATTAATGATTAATTATATAATTGATTTAATGAAAAATTACTTAATTTCAATTAGGAAAGCAATAATTGCAATAGTCTTTCTAAATTTATGTGTTGTTTAGCAGGGATAATGCAATGAGATTTCAGATCTATATTTAAGTGAGAGCCTTCTAAATGTTGAAGTGGACAATATTACTCAGACAATTGGAATTTAATATATTTACAACTTTCATTTACTCTGGTTTGACCACAACGCAACAAACATTGAGTTTGTGAACAATTTCAAAGATGGTCTTATCTTTAATAGAGTATATAACAAAACTATCTTAGCATTTTCGAACGAGACTTCTCACTAGCTTTACCAAAAATAAGAAGATGGGAAATTTATCCTTAATGGAACTATGCTTTAGAATTACACAGACATTGATTTGATGCTTATTGAGCTGCCAGAAGAAATCAGGCCCTTATACAATTTATCTGCAGTGAATATCACTAACTTGACCATGCTTATTTCATCTGAAGACATGCAAATTCTCAAGCAAAATATTACTAATGCTAAGAATAGAACATTCACTACAAGATTTATTTATTTCACTTACATGAACTGTCCAAAAGTAAGTTTCTACAAGTTTGTCATAGGTTGTTTTACTTTTGCTTACTTGATATTGTTCATTATGTTTTTACTCAGATAAATGCGGTCTTTCAACAGAGACCCTAGTATTCTCCAAAGGTGTGTTCCAATAATGCCCTTCTTGAAAATGATATATTGTGGGTTGAACTTTATTCACTGGATGAGTTGTCCCTGGCTTTAAAAGGATGAGGCTATGAATTTCATAAAGTCATTCAGAGTCACAATGGCGACCTTGTTCCAAACTTCTTTATGCATGTTTTTCCTTTTAAATGTCTATGGCTTCAAAATAAGCAGATAGAGTCTCACATAGGATCACATCAAGAAATTGTTGATAATCATGTCAGTCTAATATTTTGTTGATTCATTATTTACTCTGAGCGGCTTCATTCCTGAAACCAGGATAGCAGTTTCTTTTATCTTAAACATATTTTCTCTGTACATGATCTAATTTGCACTCAAGAATGCTAAATTAAATTTTGATGCCCTTAACTTAAGACTTGCTTAAGTCTAAAGACAATAAAGTTTGGACTATCTGGCATAAACCATAATATAAAAGAAAAAACTGATTTCATACGCAACTCTGACGATGATAGGCTACTATAGCTATGAGATTTATATTCATGGAGTGAAGAATTTTGTGTTTCAGGATGAAAATTACTTTTAACAGCTTAACACCAATATAATTCATGAATTTGTAGATCAATTTTGTGTATACTGTCTTGGACTTATTGTCACCCTTGCTAATCAGAGCAATAACTAATTAGGTGGAGGAATGATTGATATATCTTATGGCAATTTCAATCACAATATTCGAGAAGTTCCACAGGACATCAATTATGAATGTAATATTAAACTGGATAACGAGTTTGACCCAGAATCAGATGAAAAGATTATAAAAAAGCTTGATGATAAAACACCAATAATCCTAATTTACCCTGATTGTGAGAACTATGAGTTCAAAATTGGCTATAAAGAGAAACCAAAGGAGTCTAGAGTAAGAAATGCAGTTGTAGTAGAATCTGAAGTAAATGATTCATCAATAGTCAGTGAATCTGGGGAGCTAAACAATGATGTTAGGTTAGTTATGGATTTTAGTAATTGATTTCTTAATTATTTAAAATATATTTATAATTTAAAATGAATCAAAAGGGAATGAAAAGAGATATTATCACTATTCTTGCAAAAAAGAGCTGTGACTTTGGAAATGGCACTTTAATGAAAAACCAGGAGAGATCTTTCAAAAAGCCGAGTACTGCAATGTCGATTATTGATGAAAAAAAGAAATCAGCTGCTAAATCTACATCTTAGACTAGGAAAAATAGGAGCTCTTCAAAGAGCGGAGTGTAGTAATTACAATTCAAAAGTTCATTTGATAGCCAAAGGTAATAGGCAAGTTCTGCAATGGGAATGGCTTCTCAAAATGTAATTAAAGATCAATTTAAATCCTTCACAAAGTTCTAGAGTATGCAGCAATAGCATCATTAGTAATTTACACATTAATAGTACTAACATAACATTGCCCATAATTAATCTCAAAGCCACAGTGTCAATCTTACACATCACAATAACAATAATCATTCTGATTTTTCAAATATTGACTTAATTTCATCTCAAAAACCCTAAAATAATAGCAATCAGCTCTAGTTAAATAACAGTGTTAATTAAAAGTATCCATAGAAGGTACATAAGTCCAATAATAATTCATACAATATGGCAAGGCACAATGAATATAACAATAACGAAGAAGATTATATGAAATCGAAGAAGGATGAAGTAATTAAGACAATATTTAAGAAGAGAAAAGAAAAGATGTTATCAATGGAAACTCCTAAAGATACACTTACACATCATGTATCCTCTTCAACATTTGATGGCTTCAATAACTCACATTTCCATCATCACAACCTATCGTAATTCGAAAATCCAATAAATCAAATATCAATCACAAATATTGGTGCGATAGTGAACACTGATAATCAGCAACACAGTAATAGTATATCAAAGGTACTAAAAGACAAAAAATACAGAAAATTTGCTGCTGAAAGAACTCAGACTCCCCCTCCTCCAACAACAATGATGAGAATGGTTAATACTCAAAATAGCAATGAGAAAAGTCTATAAAATAGTAGCTCATTTATAAGTAAAAAGTAGACAGCCTATATCAATCCTAAAAATCCTGATGAGACTGCTTACGTTCCATCATCAGTCACCTCTAATAAGATTTAATCTTCAGTACAAAATAATAAGAAAGTTAACATTAAGCTAAATAACTTTGTAAAGACTAGCAATAAATAAGAAAACAATAATCTATTGCAATCTATTTCTGAGAGGTAAAAGAGACCTCAATCTTCAAATGATAATATATCAATTATGTCATCTTTCTCAAATAATACTAACTCTATACCTCAGACAATGAATAACACAGTTAATAATCATCATTAAAGTTCAAAGAGTCAAATGCAATATGTTTAGAATTTTTAACTGAACAAAAATATCAATGTCAAAATTTAGCAAGCTACATTCCTACAACATTAATATACATTTAATGCGCACAACAATACGATATCTGACCTCTCTTGTGATGACTTTAATAGCGGTATTCTATACTCGTCATCATATGACTATTCTGTAAAAGTTTGGAATCTTACAAATGAGGGAAGATCATTGTCCTATGAGGCTTAGTTCTCACCTTTTTCTAATGATAGCTAGCATGGAAATAGACCTCCTAGCTCATATAGTACAAATAATTTCGGTTCTGCTTCTATGATCTAGCCAATTAAGAAATTTGATAGCAAATAAAGATAGAGAGTTAATTCTTTAGTTCATTTAGGAGTATTTGGCGTGCTAGCTGCTGCTGGAAACGACAAATTGATTAAACTTTATACAACTAAATTTAGCTAGAATAAGCTAGAGCATCAGCATACAATAAAAGGAGGACATGCAGGAGTTATCAATAATCTAGCCAAAGTTGAAAATGATATGATAGCAAGTAGTTGCTCAGATGGATACATTAGAATCTTCAATCTAAGCCACCAAAATTATCAGGAACCATCGTTGATTTTGGAGCAGCTAGATTCATCTCCTGAATTAATTAATGTTCTGAATAAGAATTGCCTTCTATCAACAGGATCTGATGGAGGCATAAGATTATGGGATATCAGATAACCTGAAGCTCCAGTTCAGACTTATCACAAGTTTCATTATGATAAAATTAACACTATTGACAACTTATCTGGGTATGTATTCGCCTCAGCCTCTGATGATAGTAATATTAATGTAAGATTTAAGAAGATTAAGTATTATACTAGATGTGGGATATCAGAATGTCAAAAATGCTCAAGTAGATTAGATTTGAAAATGATCATGTAGGCTGCATTAAATTTATCAAGCAGAATTATTTAATTGCTTCTCATGCTAATTAACTCACTTTGCTGTCAATAAGAGATAATTTTACAACCAGATAGACATTTGCTTAGAATGATATAGAAGACAGATTTAGTATTTAGTCTACTTTAGAAGATACAGGAGTACAAAACAGTACACATAGAACAAAGGCTATAGCATTTTCAGAGAAGGATAGGAAGTTATATGTTGCAGGTTTTGATAAGAAAATTCAAGTTTGGAATATTAATTTAGTTTTATGAATATATTTTATCCACTAAGATTTTGATTTTCATTAAAGATTTTCTTTTAAGGGGGTTTTGGGGTTTTGGGG